AAAATTTCTATATGTGACACGGCACCAGAGTTAAGTTAGGGTTTTTCAAAATGCTGACACACGGAGCTCAAAAGGTTCGCCATCACTGTACCTAGTCGAAGGCGACAGTGGCTGGAACCAAGGTGGTGTCAGTGGAGAAGGGAAGAACAGGATTTGACGACAGATTGGGTGTGGGGAGTAAAAGAGTTGCTGAATGATGAAGTTCCCATAAACTGAGATAGACAAGGCTGTAGGTAGAGAAGGTTTTTGAGGGGGAGGGCAATTAGGAGTCTAGCTTTGGACACAATAAAATGGAGAGGTCTATTCAACATCCAAGTAGAGATGCTGAGGTACTTGGATATACAAGTGTGGATCTGAGGCTAGAGACTTGTGAGCATAGTTATCAGATCTAATGCCCTTGACTGAATGCCATTGACTGAATGAGATCACTAAGGGAGAGAGTACAGAACAGGTCCAGGAATCCAGGGACATGCAATATTAAGAGGTCAGTGAGCAAAGGAGATTGAGAACAGTGACAGGAGTATAGGACAAAGACTAGGAGAGTGAAGTGTCCTATATCTCAGAAGAAACAAATGTAAGAAGTGAAGGAAGTCTTACAGGGAGGAGGGAGTGATCACCTATGTCAAATGCTGCTCACAGGTCAAGTGAGATGAAGACTGAGATCAGGCCATTGGATTAAGTAACATGGAGAGTTTTGGTGGAATGCTGGGAACAGGAGCTAGTTAGAACATGAAAGAAAAGGAGTTGGGGCAGTAAATAGAGCACTCTTTCCAAGATCCTTACTGTAAAGAGAGCAAAAATTAATGGGACAGTAGCTAGAAGAGGAAGTGGAAGTAAAAATGGGTTTTGTTGTTGTTCTTATTGTTGAAGATTAACTTTAAGAAGCAAATATATTAACCTACGTGGGAACTGTCACTGGTAAACAGATCAGGAATAGTTGTAACAGATCGGTGCTCCCCTCTTCTCCTTTGGAAAACTATTTGGAAAGTACAATTCAAATCACAAGATTATTTCAGGAGCATTGATAACATTGATAGCACTGATGCCCAGTTTCTGTGCGTACATGGCACAAAGCAGGCGCTCAACAGATAGTTTCAGAATTAAAGAGAAAGGTCACCATGGCCTTGGCCCTAGACAGGAAAGCAAACTGAGTCATGAGAGGTGATGCACCAGAGTAGGCAGGGTTTGTGGAACGTGAGATTGTAGCGAGAGTGAACATTAGGTTCAACAGTGGAAGCAAGAGAGAAAAATAACAGGAAAAGGAAGCCATGGTTAGAGGGAAGTTCTCAAATGTCCCTTTCTCCTTGAAGCCTTTTATAATCATCTCATGAGACCTCCGCCTTTTCTGGACCTCTCTCAGGCACTTACTCTTATACTATGTCAAGTTATATCCACGTGCTCTTCTCTACTTTCATCTCCCCAATATTGACCATATTTTTCAATTGAAAAACGGAGTCAAAAACTAAGGTAATTTCTAAATCCCAGAGACAAAAAGCAGATGCTAAAAGTTTGACATTTCTAGTTCACTTCTATGGTTTACGGAGATGCTAGAGTAGAATATATGAAATTGGGGGACTGGGTTTCAAATCTGAAGTATATCCAAAATGTTTAATAAGATCAATTGCACTTGAATGCCTGGATGATTAAATGAATGAGTGAATGGACAAAGTGAAGTGAAAACTGAGGCCAGGAGAGAAGTCAAGGGGAACACGTGATTTAATAACTGAGGTCCCCTGGTCTGACAGGTGGGGCACAGGTGAATGCGGGAAGTGGGTCTGCAGTCAGAAAGCTCCTAGGAAGTTAGCAAAGTAACTAAGACGTGAAGAGATGGGGCCTAAAGAAAGGTCAGTGTGAGTAGAAAGGAAGGATATGAGGACATTTTAAAATAAAAAATTACCACATTTGGTGGGTGATAAATATAGGCTATGAGTAAATAATTCCAAGATTTTGGTATCATGTGGAGGGCCAGCATAAGAACAGGGAAATGATAAACTCAATCTTGAAATGTATTTGATACAAGGATGAGATATGCATGTAAAAGCTAGTAATAGGCAACATTTCGATGAACACTTAGTATGTGCCAAACATTGTGTCAAGTATGCTTTCCATGAATGAATTTAATTATCACAATAATGATCACCTATGATGTAGGTGCTATTATCATCTTTACACTATAGATGGGAAAATAGAGGCACAAGAATGAACCATTTGCCCAAACTCACATAGCTAGTAAGTGGATGAGCCAGGATTTGATTCCAAAAATATTAAGGAACTTATCCTGGGACCACACACATATTCATTATTTCTTCATTAAATATTGAATGAGTACCACTGCATTCTAGACATTGTGCTGGTGCTAGGGAAGGAAGGGAAAGGCTGGAGGTAAATAAGACAGACATGGTCCCCACCTGCACAAGACCTTACATGGGCATTAAACAAATAATTACAATACGATATATCAGAAAATGTTATTGCAATTAGGTAGGAGGAGTGGGTGACAGAATTCCAGGGGAGGGGAATGGTGTGTGTCAATAACTTGAGGTGAGAGCCTACAGTAGAAAAAAAAAAGAGAGAGAAAAGAGCCCAGAAAAGAAAAAAAAGAGGAAAAAAGACTAATATAAAAAAGATTAATATGGCTGGAGTGCAGAGCGATAGGGAGGCTGGAGAGAATGACCAGCCCAGATGGTGGAAGGGCCTGGTCTCCATGATAAGGAGCTTAGACTGTGTTCATTACGAAAAGGGAATCCACTGAAGGAATTCAAGCAGGGTAGTGACTTGGTCAGATTTGTATTTTTAAAATGACTGTGGCTGCAGCATGGCAACTGAATTGGAGCGAGAGAACAGTTTTGTAGGACCTGGATGGTAGTTATGTGCAAACTTCAAGCAAGAGAGGTAGGTGGCTAGGCTGGAGCAGGGTGTGGAGAAGTGGCCACAATCCCGTTTTTTAAGGCACAGGGGTCTAGGTGATTCTGATGTGTGTCAGAGACATGCTAGGTTTCTGGCTTGAACTCAGCAGATGAACAGGATGCCCTTAACTGATCCCAGGGCTAAGGGAGGAAGGTTTTGGAGGGACTGTAATATACAGGTGGAGTTTGACATGCCCCATTCATCCAAATGAAACTGTAGCAATGGCAGTTAGAACTATGAATCTAGAGTTCAAGAGCAAGGTCTAGATTTGCATTACGGGATGGACAGTCTTTGGCAGAGGGTATGTGAGGCTCCTGGTAGAGGATGAGGTCACCTAAGGGAGTACATAGGGTGGGACTCAGGAAGAGGACTCCGATTTGAGAGTTGGATAAAGGAGAAGCAGAGAGAAGAGCATATTTGGTTGAAGGTGTGGTCAGTAGTGCCAAACGCTAGAATCAAGTCCGGTAACAGGATGACTGAAGCTGTCTGTGACAGATGAGAGCTGCTTCCAGTGAATGATTGGAATAGAAGCTAGACAGTAAAGGGTTGAGTAGTGGGACATGAGAGCATGTCCACAAGGTAAGAGACCATTGGAATCACCCATTGGAGAGGGATTTAAGGAGAGAAATCTTATTTATTTTAAAAAAATCTTCATTGTTGAAACTATTACATAGGTCCTCCTTTCCCCACCCCCCATTAATCTCTTCCAGCCTCCTCCTGCCCCTGCCCCCCAAAGCTCTCACTACCCCATTGTCTGTGTACATGGTCATGCATATATCTTTTTAAAGAAATGAGAGACTTAAGCATGTTTATTGATTTATTTTTTAAATATATTTTTACTGATTTCAGAGAGGGAGAGAGACACACACAGAAACACCAACGATGAGAGAGAATCATCCATTGGCTGCCTCCAACATGTCCCCCACTGGGGATGGAGCCCACAACCAGGGCATGTGCCTTGACCAGGAATCAAACCCATGACCTCCTGGTTCATAGGTCGATGCTCAACCACTCAGCCAGGCCAGCACGTTGATATACTAGGCGGGGAAGCCCGTAGACTAGCAAAGGTTGAATAACAGAAGGAAAGATGGCTATTCTTTGGCCCAAGTCCTTGAGAAAGCAGCAGGTGATCGATCAAGAGAACCAAGAAGGGCAACTGTTTCTCACAGGAAGCCAGTAAGGGGCGGAGCTCAGACTTGTACCATCTCGGTCTGCTTCCTAAGACAAGGTCTGCTTCTCAAAGGGCAGAAAGGCGATTATGAAAGAGGACTGCAGAGTTCAATACAAAGGAGAACGAGAAATCAATATCGCGGCCGTGAGTGACCTCTGAAAGCGCAATTTCAGTAGCTCAGGCAACGGAAGTCACGCTGGCGGGTTTAGAGTGGGAGGGGCGGTGAAGGAAAGGGTGCAGTGGGTGCAAACCACGGCTGTAGAACACCGGCTGCGAAAAGAGAGCGACACGGGAAGGTGCCAGAAAAAAAAAGGGGAAAAAAAAGGCGGGCAGGTAGGGGAGGGGAAAGGAGAAGACATTTCGAAAAATTGTGGAAGAGCAACCTGGGTCAGGGCAGGTCATTGCTCAGAGGCCCTGGATGACCCAGGCTGCGCACGCAGCCGGGCTGAACCCCGCGAGGTGCCACAGGTCCCAGCCCCGAAACAGAACAGTCCGGCCGGCGGCCGCCCGCTTTCTCAGCTGGTTCTCGGAGCCGGGCTGCCCGGCCCGCCCGGGGAGACGGAAAACCCTCCCCGCGGGGGCTCCCGAGCCACGCCGGGGCGGCACCGCGTCCCAGCCCGGCCCTGCCCGGGGCCTTGGGGGCGTTTGCAGCTGCCTTCCTCCCGCACTCGGCTGCGGTCCAGACCCAGCGGCGCGTCTCCCGCGTCCCCGCAGCGTTTGAAAGTTCCCGGGCCGAGGCCGCCCGCAGCCGCCCTAGAGCCCGCCGCTTACCGCCGCAGGGCCCGACCCGCGCGGGAGTTTCCATGCAGTCGCCCACACCCCCCTGGATTTCCCCAGCCGGCCACACACAAGCCCCACTTCCTCCTTCAGGTTTCCGCCGCCGCCGGGTTTTAGCCGCCAAAACGCGGCGAAGGGGCTTAGATCACTCCTCCCCCCCACCGCGGGTCCCAGCCCACCTTCGCCTTCCCTCCCGGGAGAACCCCTGCGCCTCGCCCGAAGGAAACCGAAGAGCTTCGGCAAGTTCCGCCTCCAGCGCGGGGGGGCGGGGCCGCTCGAGCTCCTCCGGGCGGACTCGGCTGTTTCCGTGCGCGGCCGCTGCGCACTCGGCACTGGGCGGCGCTGGCTGGCTCCCTGGCTGCGGCTCCTCAGTCCGCGGCGGCTGCTGCTGCCTGTGGCCCGGGCGGCTGGGAGAAGCGGAGTGTTGGTGAGTGACGCGGCGGAGGTGTAGTTTGACGCGGTGTGTTACGTGGGGGAGAGAATAAAACTCCAGCGAGATCCGGGCCGCGAACGAAAGCAGTGACGGAGGAGCTTGTACCACCGGTAAGAGGAGCAGGAGGAGGAGGCAGGAGCCCGAGAGAGCCGGGGGGACCGAGGGGGGACGGGGAGGCGCCGGACACCCGCGCTCCGGGCCTTCCCCTCGCAGGAGGGGCCGCGGCAAAGATGGAGCCTCCGCCCGAGCCCCACAACCTCGCCGCCGCTCGCAGCGAACAAAGAATAATGGCGGCGGACTGGAGCCAGCGGCGGCCGGGCGGCAGCGACTCTGCCTGCAGCCAGCGGCGGCGCTCATGGCGGGGGGCGGCGGGCTGCGGGCGGGGTGGCAGCCGGGGACCGGGCGGCGTGCGGGCGGGCGGCCGGCCGGCCGCAGCGAGCTGGCGCCCGCGTTCCCGCCGCCGCTGCCACCGCCACCATCGGGCCGGGCGCGGAGCCGGGAGCCGGGAGCCGGGAGCCGCCCCGGGGGAGGCCGCCCGCCCGGCCCGATCTGGGCTGGCGCCGCTGCCCCCCGCGCCGCCCGCCTCGCCCCCGGCCGGCCCGGCCGTCCTCCCGGCTGCGCCGCCGAGCGCCCGCGGGGGGTGGCGGCGGAGGCCGGCGGCCGCGGAGGGCAGCGGAGGTGAAGGTGCCCGCCTTCCCGGCGGCCCCGGTGCCTGCCCTGCCCGCGGAGCAGCGCGGCGGCGGCGGACCCGCTCTTCGCCGCTCTCTTTGTGCAATAAAGTTCGGAACCCACGGCTTCTCCTCGTCCTGTATTTTGTTCGTGCCCTTTCCCCCCGCTCGCCGCACACCATGGCGGGGACCCTGGCCTTTCTGCTCCGGGGAGCGAGGAGGGCTTGAGCATTTTTAGGTAGTTTTGACTCTTTTCCCTTCGCCTCTTTTTTCTTACTTTTTCCCCCCTAAGGCAGTAGTCATGGAAATGCATTCTTTTTGGGAGGAAGGGGTTGCTAAGAAAAAAACCCCACATTTCTAATAAGTTTGAAACAGTTGGGATCTTGTAAAAGGGAAGCTGGCGTTTGAAAACAGTTTCGCTTTTAACCCTTTTCAGTAAGGTGATCGCTTGAGATGTATCATGGTGAAACACCTCGTTTTTGGTCGATGTACTTTTGCTTTACATCACTTTTTATGTGTGTGTTTTTTTTCTTGCCAACCATGCCAACGCGTTTGGGCCCTCTGGATCGCGCCACCCCGCCTCCCGCCACCATGTTTCCCCACATATTTCTGTCTAAACGTGAACGTATTGATTAATACTAACTCTAAAAATAGGCATTTTTAAAAAATATCCACTATTTGTCTCCCGACTGCGGTGGGTAACCCCGACCGGAGACTGACGGTTTCAGCCACAAGGCTTATTTTTTTCTTTGTTAGGAAAAGGCATGGCAGAAAAGTCATTGACACATTAAAGATGAAAAAGATGATTTTTAGCGGACCTGCAGTATGACCTATTTAAGTGTGTCATACCCTCTTTTAGGAGTTAGAATTTCATTCCGGCCTTAGCTTACATCAGTTCCACCTCCTAAAGGTTTAGTATAAAAGATACTTTTGGTTGCCAGCTATTGAAATCTTTTACACTCACTGCTTATTTCCTGATTTAAAAGTAAAAAAAAAAACAAAAAAAACCCGGTTGTTTTTAGGTGTTGCAAAAGATGAACGAATTATTTGTTGTAGAAACACTTGGTCTGCCACATTTCACTAGAACTAGTTAATATACAAGGTTTCTTGTGAGGAATTAATACTGATTGGTAATGGAAGCCCTCTTATTTTCCTGTTGCCAGGTCATTTTCAAAACCTACTTTGCTGTATTGCAAGTCTTAAACACACATTAGCAATTTGTCATTGTTGAAAAAATCAAGAAAATGCAATAAAGAGTTTTTCCATAAGGACTGAGAAGATGATTTTATTGACAAACACTGAGGAAATTATAGTATTGATGATGTTATAGATTACTGTTTTTCCTTAAGAAAGATTTTCTGAAACCCAGCATCAGTTGAGGAACATTTTTCTCCTACAGAGAATATAGGACAACTCTTCCTCTGTGAAAATTTAAACTTTATTTATAAATTCATAATCTGTTAATTCTTAGCAATTCCAAGTGAAACTTTTCAAACTTCTTTTATATTCATTAATATGTGAACATTCACATGGAGCATGGTATTAAAAATTACACTTCTCCCCCCTCTCACAGATCAGTAAAAAAATCACAGTTAAATCTGTGATTAATTTATTAACGGACCATGTATTCAGAAAATGAATGAATCTTTGACACAAATTGACTGAAAAATGTTAAAAGGCACTTCTGGGACTTAAAGCTGGCACCCCTTTTGAATGACTTTTTTTTTCATGTAAGAGCCTAAGGAAACTTAGAAACCTGATCTAGAAAACGGCACTTCCCTTTTCTGCTTTCTAAAATTTATATTCTTGATTAGATCTGACAAATAGAAACTTTTCTTCGTAGAGAATTAGATCTGACAAATAGAAACTTTTCTTCGTAGAGAAGTAGCTTTATTTCGTCACATTCTAAGACATTGTGTTTTGTTGTTTTGGAATATAATATGGTTATATTAAAAACCAAGTACAGGGGGGGGGGGCAAAAATAGGCTTACAGTTGTAAGGTTATAGTAAAACCAAGTACATGGTGGGCAAAAACAGGTTTACAGTTGTTAGTACAAGAAAGAGTTTATTCTTGTATTACAATTTATTAATTATTGTATTAATTATTATATCATTTTCCATATGAATAACAACCTACTTTTGTCCCACGTGTATGTATTCCCCACTTCATGTCAGTTTAAAAATATTTTTCCTCTTCTACAGTAGAAAAAATGTTCTTGCAACTTAATGCTTACAATGTATCACTGAAATTTATAATTTCATTTATTCCATAAATACCTTACTAGATTCAGTTATATGCACTTGTTTGCCTGTAACACAGTCTTATAAGCATATCTTTCTTGACGTACAGTGTCACAGTGATGGCATTTTAATTGAATAGTTAAGAGCTCAAATCTGAATGTAAGGATATAGTAGACAGGGAATAGAAAAAAGGCAAGGATTTTGTTTTCTCTTTTTTTTTAAAAATATATTTTATTGATTTTTTTTTTTTACAGAGAAAGGGAGAGGGATGGAGAGTCAGAAACATTGATGAGAGAGAAACATCAATTCAGCTGCCTCCTGCACACCCCCTACTGAGGATGTGCCCGCAACCAAGGTACATGCCCTTGTCCGCAATCAAACCTGGGACCTTTCAGTCCGCAGGCCGCTGCTCTAGCCACTGAGCCAAACCAGTCAGGGCAAGGATTTTCTTTTTCTTATGTGTGAACTCATTTCTACTGCAGTATCACTTGAGGCAGCAGTTTGTGGTAATTCAGGTATTTAGTTAGCATTCACTGTGACAGAATGTAGTTAGTGGAAAGAGCATTAGGTGTTAGAATCCCTGCTGACACTATTGTCATGTGCCTACCCTCAAGGAAATTTGTGACTTACCGGGAATTTTTTAATCTTCCTCAGCCTCAGTTTTCTTATTTGTTAAATTAGAATACTACCACCTTTTTAACAGGGTCATGAGATAAAGTACTTCCTTAGGGACTCAATGATAGATACTCATTTTTAAGCCTTATTTTAACTTCCTAGCTGTGGGACATGGAGCAGGTTTCTTCTCCATACCTCAGTTTGCTTGGTCATAAAGGTACAATATCCACCTCATAGAAATGTGAGAATTAAATAAATTAATACATGTAAACTGTTTAAATAAGTTAATACATATTAAATTACACAAGTGCCCAACAAATATTTTTATTTTTAAGTTATTCATTATTAATATTACTATGGAGTAGAAGCTGCAGCAAATCCAAAGATGAATTACACTGTCTTGTTGCTACTCTAAAGGAACTTTGAGGACGTGATGACTAATAAGGCAGAATATCAAAGGAAGGAGAGATCATACTTGGTGAAATAATGAAAAAGAGGAATACTACAGTTTTATATTTTCAGTTTTATTTTTTAATGTCATTCAGATAATTCATAATTCAAAACAAAATTTATAGGAAAAGTCTGTGTGTGTGTCACCCCCACCAAGTCGTCCGAGTATTGTCAATTATTCATTCAGAGGTATATATTCATACACAAGCAAATACGTATATACTCTCCCCTCCTTTTATACAAAGGATAGTCTACTATATACACCATCATATATCTTGCTTTAATCCACTCAATACTGCTTAGCAAAAAGAGCTTCATTTTTGTTTTTTAACAATGAGGCATTTCATCATATGAATGTACCCATATTTATTAACTAGTGAGTGAGCTGATTTTATTTTTAGATCTTACCTGGCACTTTAAAGTAATCTATCATTATGCCTTTATTTCTTTTAATGAAAGAGAATTCATTTGACTGATAAATAACAGTTTCTGAGAGGAAATTGTCATTTGAACTTCCTCATTACCTTGTTAGCTTTTTGTGCATGAAAAGGCATGTAAGGTGTGCAAGAGTTAACTATGAAAATGAGTTTAGTCTGAATTTAACTCTTGTTGAGGCTCTTTATCCTACCTGCTATTGCTATTTCAGCCAAAATATTCTCAATAGCTTTCTCTCTAAATGAGAAAGAACATCTCATGTAGTTCAGTTCTTTAAAAAAAAAAAAGTGTTTATTGATTTTTTTTTTTTTTTTTTTTTTTTTTTTTTTAAGGAGAGAGATGGATAGAAAGAAACATCAATGAGAGAGAAACATTGATCGGCTGCCTTTTGCACACCCCCTACTGGGAATGGAGTCGAAATCCAGGCATGTGCCCTGACAGGGAATGGAACCTGTGACCTCTTGGTTCCTGGGTCAGTGCTCAGTTGCTGAGCCACACCAGCCGGCTCAGCTGGGCAATCCTTTTTTTTAAGCAGACTATTTTCATGGGATAGTATGACCCAGTAATGCGGATGAGAATACTAGCTTTCTTCCTGTATTTATTTTTTGCATAGTCATTAACTTATTCTTTGATGATTTTCTAAATTTTTTAGTGTAATTGTCAGATTTATATTTGACTAGAGGCCCGATGCACAAAGTTTGTGCAAGAGTAGGCTTCCTTCCCCCGGCTGCCAGCACTGGCTTCCCTCTGGCACCCGGAACCCGGGCTTCCCTCACAGCCCTGCCTTCATCCAGAAGGTCGTTTGGAAGGACGTCCAGTCTAATTAGCATATTATGCTTTTATTGTTATAGATGCCTAAGTAAATAGTTTCACCTATATGATTCTATACCAGGGTTGGGCAACCTTTTTGTGAGTGCGTGCCAAAACCAGCAAAATCTCTAACTCAAAATTCTTCTGTGTGCCAACCCTAATTTTTTGAGAACGTGTTACGCCTACCTGATATCTCTTAAGGTGTACATATGTGAAGAACCTTGAAGAAATAACAAAATTCATTCGAGCAACAAAAACACAGTATATGATGATGAAAAATACATTTAAAAATATATATATTTTATTGATTTTTTTACAGAGAGGAAGGGAGAGAGGGAGAGAGTCAGAAACATCGAGGAGTGAGAAACATCGATCAGCTGCCTCCTGCACACCCCCCACTGGGGATGTGCCCTCAACCAAGGTTACATGCCCTTGACCGGAATCGAACCCGGGACCCTTCAGTCCGCAGGCCGACGCTCTATCCACTGAGCCAAACCGGTTAGGGCAATACATTTATTTTTTAATGTATACATGTACGCTGATAGTCCGACAGAAAACTTTATGACTCTGTTTGATATTATCAGTGGGACTTTTGCTGCTGCATCACTGATGACAGAGATTTTACATCAGGTTTATATTTCGTGACCTTCAGAGATATGCTCGAGCTACTACTTTCATCCG